AATCCGACTTGAAATAAATTTTTGGCGAACACTTTTGTCTAGTGCATTTTTTTCGAGTACAGGCCTTAGTTGACCGATCCTTTTCAAACTTTGAGACAATAAAATATAACCCTTTAGTAAGCTTTTGGCATATTTATTTCATTCAACTTCAATACCATAACCGTACGCTCGCACCTTACGCTTAACTCCACTCATTAGGTTCTGTACAACATCTGGCTTCAGCTTCTTCTGTACGGAAACCAGGGCTGGTAGCCATCACTGCTGTCAAAAATAGTGATTTTAGTGACCATGTTGAAGAAATAAGTGACTAAATAGTGACTGTTAGTTGTAAAAATAGTGACTAAAAAGTGACCCTGAATTGAATTAAAAATAAATTTTATTGAAAACTCTTAGGAATTTCTGAGAAGCACAACTTTTGTGAACTTCAAAGGAAAATTCCAAGGGCAATCCTTGGATTTTTTTTGAAAATACTAAAAGAAGGATTACAATTAAATCTGAGAATAACTCCAGGACATCTTCAAAGGAATTCGGAAAATAAATTCAGGAAAGTTTTCCAAACAAATTATGAGAAAAAATCAAAGGAAATTGTGAGTAGAAATGCCAATGAGAACTTCCCAAATTTTTCCTATGAAGTTCTCGAAATGTTTCTGAATACCACTGTCCTTCTGCGAAGTTTTCGAAGTTTTTTTTTTTAATTTCTGGAACTTTTGTGCTCCCGCAATTTTCATGGAATTAGAATGAAATAATTAGTATAGTTTTGTGATTTTCACTTAAGTTCTCATGATTTTTCTGAAGTCCATTAAATTATAGACACTAATTTAAAACTTCTTCAATAGTTCAGACTTTCCGGGTGTTATTAAAACGGCCTAAACGAATTTCTTTAAAGTTCTCTAGGTTACCCTGAATTTATCAGTATTTTTAACAACCCACAACTTTACTGAAATCAATCGATTTGCCTTGAAGTTTGGACAATTTTTCTTAAGTATTCTAACCATTAAAAACGCTCACTTATTTTCCCTGAACTATGCTTACCTGAAGTTCTCTAAATTTGTTTGTCCGGCAAATTTTGTGATATATATTATATATTTAAAATTCCCTAACGTTTTAAGATCAATCATAGAATTCTTGGAATATCCCATAATTCCACGGAATTCCTTGTTAGTCGCTGCAAATTTGCTTAAGTTAATGGGATTATTCTGAAGCTATTTGATCGTCCTCGAAGCACTCGGAACTTTGCTGAATATCATGAAACTATCTAAATTCTAAGTTCTCTGGAATTTCTTGAAGATATTTATCGCTGCTTGCTAAAATCGTTCTCGCATTTTTTTAAATGAATGGAACTTCGTTGATATTCTCTAATCAACTTAGCTAAACTTTCGTATTTTTTAAAGTTCTTGATATTTCCATGATACAACACCCTTAAAATACTCTCTTTTTATCACGTTCCAGAAGTTCTATGGGAGCTTTGTTGAAGTTTCCGGAACTTCTTTAAGGTTTCTACAATTTTCTTTAAATTATTTAAACTGCCCTTTGATTTTCTGATCTGTCTCGAAGCTTCCCTAAAGCTCCCAATTCTATTAATGATAAATTTCCCTGAAATTCTTTGAACTTCTGTGAAGTTCCTGAAATATTTATGACGTTTTCATAAATTATCTGATGGTCTCTATACTTCCCTGAAATTCTCGGAACATCTTAAGAGTTCTAAATTTTCCTAAATTTACGATTATAGATATTTAAACTGCTCTAAAAAGTCTGAACTAAAGTCATGGGAACTACTCTTAAGATCTGAAATTCCCCAAAGATCTCTAGATCTAGCTTTTCTGAGGTGTTTAGATTTTTTTTTAAATTTTCTCAAGTTTTTTTAACACCTGTGATGTGCTTTGAAATTCTAGGAACTTCATAAAAGTTTCTGAAAATTTTAGAATGTTAAAAGAACCGATTTGAGGATCGTTCCCCATAATTTCACATTTCACTTCAGTGTGTTAACTTCCCTTATGTTCCCGCAGTTTGTTTATGGAGCTTTACTGAAATTCTCAGAATTTCCTTTCATTCCTCAGAACGTATTCAAAGTTCCTGCAATTGTTGTGAAGTTAATGGGACTGCAATGAAGATCTCTAATATTTCATAAAGTTAATTACGAACTTGAAATAAATCCTTTAATGTTTTCCTTAATTCAGGCACTTTGAAAATTTTCAATATCATGAACTTGTACATGGAATACGAAACTACAAGACATTGAATGTTTTTAGATTTTGGACTTACTTAAGTTAAGTACGTTTTTTTAAACTGTGAACAGTGAAAAATTAAGTTCAACATTCATTGGATTTGATTACAAACTTGTTTCTTTAAAACTGATTGCCATGTCTTAAAAACGCTTGGGTTAATTACTGTCAATCTTCCAGAAAAAGCATGTTTTGAACGCATTTAAAAAAGCTTTCTTATTATAAGCCTTGAATTTATCCGTTAATGTTCTGGGAAAACCTGGAAAACACAGGAAAATTTAGAAAAATGAGTAGACAGCCTGTAGATAGAGAAAGACGATTAAATGTCTCAAAGCAAATAATAACCAATATTGAAATAAATTCACGCTAAAATAGTTGCAAATAGTGACTGATTAAAAGAAAAAGTGACTTTAGTGACTTGACCTTAAAAAAAGAGACTTTTTAGTGACTGGCTTGAAAAAAGTGACCAAGTCACTAAAAAGTGACTCACTACCAGCCCTGGGAAACCCACTTTTTCTTCATGTCTTCCTCAGATTTGACCTCCTTGGGATGCTTCCGTAGTGCCTGCTTCACCCAGTATTTTTCGATGGGCCTTAGTTCCGGTGCGTTGGGGGGGGGGGGGGGTCATGTCCTTGGCTTTGTACCACTCCAGAACAACATTTGAATAGTGGCACGAAGCTAGACTTAAGTTTCATAATCCATGATGAGACAATGAGGCTTCGTCAGCATCTGGGTGTACAGTTTCCGGGCCCGTGATTCGCGATTTGGAACCTTCTGCACTTTGTACGTATGCATTCCCTCCCGGTCCTTGGCTCTTTGAACGAAAGACTTGGACAGATTCAACTTTTTGACCACATCCCTGACCGAAGCATTGGGATTCCGCCTAAACGCTTTCATGACACGCTTGTGATCCTGATCACTATTAGAACATCTATTCTGACCGCATTTCTCCTTCCGTTCGATGCTCAGAGTTTCATAGTAACGTTTAATCACACTAGTCACCGTTGACTGCACGATTTTGAGTTGTTTTCCGATGTCCCGATGAGAGAGTTGAGGATTTTCCAGGTGCTTGCGCAAAATCAGTTCGCAACGTTGCTTTTCGGGAGACGCCATTTTTCCAACTTTCGAAAAACTGACAGCGATAAAAAATACAGTGTATACAATACACTCTAAACTACTTCTACCCAAATTTTCAAGAGAAAATACCCAATGGGTAATTTTCTATAGCGTTTTTTTCCGTGATGCAATTTGATGTGGGACACCCTTTATAATTATTAAATTTACTCTCTGCATTTTTCCCGAACCGGAAACATTGGTTCCAAATTGAGGCTTATGGTACTGCCCTTGATATTGTATAGAGTGTGTTTCCAAAATTATTAAAAAAAAAAATTCTTGGCTTTCAAACAATTACTTATGTAATTATGTATTTCTGAAATAGCAATTACAAATTCAATATTGCCTTCTTATTGCTTATGATGTTTTCTGATTATATAAGGGAAATGGCTCTTATGTTGGTCTATGGATCTAAGATAGGGCCCATCGCTAAAAATCTGCTATTTATCAATTTTATTTAGATGAACGCGTCATTGGGACGGTACTAATGGATATCAGTACTAACATTTGAAAACGGCGCAAAAGCCATTTGTAAACAAATGGTTTGTGGGCCCTTTACTCGCTACTCGAAGTACACCCACGCAACACAACAGCTACATCGGGTAGGGGAAATCTTCCCCTTCCTGACGATGCTGTTGGTTTGCGTGGGTGTACTTCGAGTAGCAAGTAAAGGGCCCACAAACCATTTGTTTACAAATGGCTTTAGCGCCGTTTTCAAATGTTAGTACTGATATTTTGGGTCGCTATTCAAAATTTAGTCGATTGCTGAATTTATGTATGGGCCCAAATAAGGGACATTTAGGCCGACATTACAACAATTTCCCCTACTTCAAGAAAACATCAATGTTAACTCGTTTTACGGTACATTCCAAAACTCATATGGAATTTTCTTCAAAACCATTTAGATTAGTTATCGAAGGACCTTTAATCAATATCCTCTTGATTTTCCCTCACAATCTTCCAAAGGGTCGCGTAAACCACCAATTAGTCACTAGTGACAGAGAGTTACCTCAGCTCACTCACCCAGTCTTTTTTACATTGGCGCTCGTTATTTTTATCAATCACTCGATAAATTAAACGGATTAAAAACCAATCAGACACGCTTCAGAAAGTTGCATCAGATTTGTGTCGGCAGGAGGCTCGTCACATAGCTGACTCATGATGCACCGTTATCGGCTTCTCCTATCGATCAAAAATCAGCACCATTTTCGGATCGATTTGCCTTCCGATCTATGATTCACCTTATTCCGCAAGCCAATTGCGCTGAAGAAGCTAATTTACGTTGACACTTGCCCCACAAGAGCACCGATTATTGCGCAATTCTTGTGCATTCATTCGGCAGCACAACGCGTAATGTGCTAACCACGTTTGTCCGTTCATACTTTCAACCGGGAGGAAAGTCACATTCCCCGGTTTCCTGTGCACCGGTAGACGCAGATGTTTGTACGTAAGCACGTTTCGGAAGAAGGAAAAAAAACGGTGGTATCTAAGAATAACCTTCAGGTTATTATTTTCGGAACGATGATGACAGAAATGTCTCTCGTCAAACCAATAGCGCTGTTCAATGACTTTGCTTTGAGCTTCAACCGATTTATTGCGAATTTATCACACCGGAAAACCTCGGAAGTAAAAATTCATTACTGATTTCCCATTTACCTTTTCCAGGCTCGTGGTTTCCCAGAATCAAAAGGCGCTGCACATAGTTTTTCCGCACCAGTTCCTGGATTCGCCCGAGTGGTTCGGAGTGTCTACGGATGACTACTTCCAGGTACAGTAATCGGTGATCATTTTCTGAAAACCAATTGTAACCCCATTTTACTTTTTTTTAGGTGTCAATTATGGCCATGGAAGAGTCCCGGGTCCTGATCTGGCACCGGGACAAGCTGAAACTGTCAATTATGGCGGAACCGTTCCTGCAGGCGGTGTTCGATCACATCCTCGGCCGGGACGTCGTCAAGAAGCTGATGCAGGTGACGCAGGTTGGTGGGGGGATGGTGGGGTGCCGTGTTAAAGTTGAAGATGAATGCGAATGCTGTTGACATGCTCACATTCATGGTAGATACACAGGTGTCCTCCTATTTTCCTTGGCGGTCATTGCTCTAGGAGAGATTGCTCTTACTTCACGAGTGCACCGATGAATTCAGAAGGGCCTAAACCTAAAATGAAGTGCCGCTTATCCATTTTTGGTAGTGGTTGGTGGACTGGATTTTCTTCCTATAATAGAAGAACTAGTACAGAAATTGTTAGAATTGTTTTCACACACCGTATCGGGAATATAGAATGCGAGGAAATTTGCACTCGGTGCATATGACTATCAAGCGTGCTCTAGTCGATGCTGAAGCCAATAAAGGAAAAGGCTGATTATCCTCTTTTATAGGCACAGCTTTGATCTTACTTGGTTGGTGATCATCATTTGGTTCGATACCGTATAACTTCATCGAAGTCCTTATACTTTTCACCTTTGAGTTGAAGATTCGGCAGCCAAGCAATATTGGTGCTTTCATCTAACCTCTTTGGTCTGTGGAATTTGTAATTCGCATCATTGCACTCAATCACCTGAAAAGAAAAGCAAATCCTAACATATAACTACATTTCAAACGTATTTTGTATTCACTTAAGGCGCATCGGAACGTAGAACATTTTGCAAAAAAATCAAAAGCAGTTTGTTTGTTCAAAACCAAAATTCTGTTCATGACAATGTTTTCAAAGTTTTCCATTAGCAAAGCAGAGCACAATGAATATATTTTCAAGAACAGATATTGGATTTTAAACGAAAAAACTGCTTTTAAATTAAGAAAAACGTTCTATCTTCGCTTTCTTCTTACATATGTCGGAGAACGGCTTCAAACCCCCCGAGACCTTATTCCAAGGACACTCTATGATGAGAAGCATCATACTGCAAAATTGAGCGATTCGAGATAATATTTACCCTAGTATTTACCCCATGCTTAGAATATGAACTCGGGGGGCCTTTTCTCCTTTGTAGCACAGTGATTAAATTGTGCAATTTGCAGTGATTGGGCTACAAATGGTGAGTCGACAACCTTGAAGGAGTGTTGTCCAAACAGCTCTGGTCTTCACAAGTTCCTATCTCACGCTTCCACGGGTGAGCAAAGTGAGGAGGTGCGACCCCCGAGCGTATGTTCACCATGGAGCTCAAACAGCGTCTGTCTCGGAGCGAGCGGCTGAATAAGAAATGATGTATCACGTCTGCCGCAGCCCCATCAACATGGTTGTAGGTATCGCGACTCCGGTAAGGTAGCATACAGAAACATCACCTTTACTCAGAGAAACGAAGAAAGAGAAAACAACGAACGTCATTTTCGGCAACCGACCCGTGTTGCAAGTGCTCCTGTAGCGGTAGAGCAAAAATTACCGAGAGGCAGACAAAAGCACGGGGTCTCCCTTAGTTCAGTCGGTAAAGGCGCAGCTACAAAGCAAGACCATGCTGGAGGTGGCTGGGTTCAATTCCCGGTCCGGTCTAGGAATTTTTCGGGTTGAAAAATTTCTCGACTTCCCTGGGCATAGAAGTATGATTGGACTTGCGCCACACAATTATACCAATGCAAAAATGGTACAGGCATCGAAAGCTCTCAATTAATAACTGTGGAAATGCATCTAGAACACTAAGTTGAGAGCACGCAATAAGCTAATATGCGATATGCAATAAGCTTGAAATGCGAAGAATAAGAAGAAGAAGAAGAACAAAAGCACAAACACTAAAGGGCAAAGTTTCCAACAAATCCAAAAACGAACTCCAGATGCATTTTTATACTTATATCTTGAATCCCCCTACTTTCCTACTACCTTACTATCCTGCCTCCTATTATCTTTCCAATCATATTTTCTCTTCTTGTGAGTACTCACTGTTACCGGCCGCAAGCGTCTGCAAACAGACGCCGAACCGACGCCGCAAGACACCACACATCGATGCTTTCTCCTCCTCCGTTGATCGAAGACCACTCTGCAGCACCCTGGGGGTACTTCTCGTCCGTCGTGTCCGCCGACCTGCTTCGTCGAGTGTCACTCGAAACTATCGGTCCGACAGATTGCGTATGCTGCGTCAGTCTTGCGAAGCGCCACGATCCTCGAAGTAACCATCTCTTGGTGGTGACGATGTACTTCGCCTCCCTGTCGGTCTCCTGTCAACGACACGAAACAAAAGCCCTGGGCGCATTCTGCATTAGCCTCCATTTGACGGCCATCTTGTTGAGTAAAACTCACTTCTCTTGGAAGGCTTTTTGTCCAACACGGCGAACCGCCGCAATCACGTGTCTCTTGTCAGGGTGCTCGATTCCCAATCCGTGTAATTGTCCGACACATTGTTAGTTGCAGCACCGTATAAATCTTAACTGTAGTCACTTTACCGTGTATTCCAGAGGTAGGGTAGTTCCGCACTCTCTCGCCGGTTGTCGACGACCGATTCCCTCCAAGAACCGTGCACGGGCGTGTGCCGATCGTGTGACGCGAAGCTGTATCGAAATCCCCGTGTTAATTTTGGTATTTGATTATTATCATTTTCCTGGACTAACCTTTCGACAGCCCGCTGTCTAATCTGCGTTTCGGCTCGATCTGCGTGGCAATCCTGACACCCACTCTCGAGAAGATGATTTTCCAAAGCACGGCAGATTCGGTTTGCTTGTAAAACGGCTATTGCAGGTTACCTGCTAATGCGCACTCGGACGGTCTTCCGAACAACGGGTTTCGGAGTTCGGTTCGACCAAGGCAATCCGCACCACGAAGGAAAATAACTCCGATTTCCAACAGCTGCACTCACAACGAAAGGCATTCTTTCCACCACCGACAGCTCGCATAATCGAGAATTGAATTTTCACCGTTTTGCGTGCTATTCGGATGAAGACAAGCAATGTTTTGCTCTGCCGGTCTATAGTGTGTCGGTGTGCGTGCGGCGGAAGCGATGTCAGCTGCTGTCGATGACGTTTTCGTTGTTTGGTTCGTTTCCAATTTTAGGCCCATGCAGCATCATCGCTTGTGCACGCTGACGTGCGATTACTCACTAGTTGTGTCAACAGCTTGTACTCGGATCACCCACACTGGAACACCTGCAGACATTCCTTTCGGTGTATCGTTCAATCCCAAACCGAAACACACCGCAGTCGACGTCTCCAGCAGAAGCATTCCTCGGAAGACCAGTGCGCACCACTTTGGACCTACTGAAGAAACCTGTTCCTGTAACTGAAACTGTCAAGAACCACAAACAAAACGAACAGTTCAATTGGCGGCATGGAGCAGTCAAGCGCGAGTTTGAAAAAGATGACCTGGTCTACGTTGAACAGCATCGTAGAAACGCCAAGTCCTGGATTCCTGGTCGAGTCATCGAACGGAAAGGTTCCGTCAACTATATCGTTGCACTGGACATGAACGGGAGACCGAAGCTGGTGAGGTCGCATGTAAACCAAATGTGCCATCGTCACACTTCTGATGATCCAGAGCAAGCGACGCAGCAACTACCATGGGAAATCCTGCTTGATGAAATTCAAGATGAAGCTGTACCGTTGGATCCTGAAGTGCCATTCAATCACGATGTCCCTATTCCTGTTGGTTCCGTATCACTCGAAGCTGATGGTCAACTGGCAAGTACGTCTGGCGAAAATCCTTTTTCGATAATCGATCATGAACCTGCTGCTCAAGATGGAGAACTTCAGTCCGCACAAAAGCCCGTGTCATCTGAAGCAGTTGGAGACTTTATTCGACGTTCTGTACGAGAATCAAGAATTCCAAGGTGGCTCTCTTCCTATGACATTTTCTAAAAGGGGGAGATGTAGTAGGCCTTGCCTGACTGTCATAAGTTAGAGATTGATTCTTATCCGACCACCAACCAAGATAGACGTAATAAATAGTAGCTCTTAACAACAGCTTGTTTTACTTGTTGGCCTTGGTTACGGATATAACATTTATAAAGAGGCGACATGTCAAAATTGGAACAATCGATTGTCTGTCAACGTCATAGGAAAAGTCATTCCAATCGAGCAGAAGACCTGTCAAATGGATAAGATGACGTCTCTTTATAAATTCAGGCTCTTTACTTAATACAAATAGCTTCAAAACTTAATGCAAATTTCAATACGTAACACCCGGCAACGAAATAAGGACAATTAATGGAAACTCGGTTCTAGGAATGTCAGAACCTTAAATGAACCTGGACGAGTGGCTCGTGAACTGCAAAAAGTAAATGTGAGCGTAGCTGCTGTTCATGAAGTACGGTGGCCTAGATCTGGACAACGTGAATTGCGGGCGGTGGATCCCATTGCCAACACTTCCTTCAAATATCACATCCATCACAGCGGTGGTGATAGGGCAGAACATGGAGTAGGGTTCACAGTCAGTGTTCGGGAAGCATATGAAGCGTGCCATGCGGTGGAGACCGGTAAGCGAGAATTACGGCAGACTTGGAAGCGGCAGCACCAAGAACCAGCAGCAGATACAGCAGCAAATAGCAAATTCAGCAGCAGATAGCAAATACAGCAGCGGGCCTCCATCACGAGCCCATCCAGCAACAACGACAGTGAATGAAATCCGGGCCGAGGCTACTAAACAGTAGCGCCCATCCAGCAACAACAACATCCGGGCCGAGGCTACTCAACAGTAGTGCCCATCCAGCAACCACAGCTTCTGTGGAATCCACAGTGAGGGCTTTTGAAGAGTTTCCCTCACTGTAAATGCCACAGAAGCTGTGGTTGCTGGATGGGCACTACTGTTGAGTAGCCTCGGCCCGGATGTTGTTGCTGGATGGGCGCTACTGGTGAGTAGCCTCGGCCCGGATGTTGTTGTTGCTGGATGGGCGCTACTGTTGAGTAGCCTCGACCCGGATTTGATTTACTGTCGTTGTTGCTGGATGGGCTCGTGATGGAGGCCCGCTGCTGTATTTGCTATCTGCTGCTGTATTTGCTATTTGCTGCTGTATCTGCTGCTGGTTCTTGGTGCTGTCGCTTCCAAGTCTGCCGTAATTCTCCAAGTC